CGTCTCTCCTCCTCTCTCTCTCTCTCTCTCTCCCCCTCTTCCCCTTCCCCCCCTCCCCATGGGGTGCCAATTCAAAATGACCAAAATACACCCAAATGTGGAGCCCATTTTAACAGCTCCAATGAGGAGCCCGTATCCCCCAAATTTCATTTAAATATGAGTTTGAGAAAAAATAAAATATAAAAATTCATTCAACAATGTACAAAATGAGCCTTCATTCCAAAAGGGGGATAGGGTAATGGGTGAGCTCCCATGAGTGTTTCATTCTTTTGCACCGCCCCCCCCCTCCAAAGCCGCTCTCATTTTTGTGGGTTACCTCTCCTGTCGCATTTCCTAGTTGAGAGCTGCTACAATGACTTGGAAATTTCAATGCTAGCTGCTGAAAGTTCTAGTTATCAAACTCTACCTTAGAATACAAAAATAAACCATCCCCACACCTTTTGAGCTGGCCAAATCACCAACACTAACGATAGGATCCCAAATCAACATGAAGTTGTTGGATCCGCACCTCATAGGTACCGCATAGATCGCAAATAGGCTCCAAACGATGGCCAAATCATCCAAATTCTTTGCAGCTGTCTGATGTAAGCAAATATAAGGGAGCAATAAAATCAGCAAGAAACAAAGCCAAACACAAGCACAATTCAAGAAACCTAAGGCTCTTCTCCACACCCCAAGCTAGGATTCCAAAGCCTAAGCTTTTTACTCTTTCAATTTCTAAAAATCATGTGGAATTAACCCTCTCAAGACCCCACACACCTCTTATATATTATAATTCAACATTACATGTCCATATAATGACTAAAATGATCTGTAAACTTAAATTTAAATTTCGTAATGACAATGTTACCCTTGTGAACAGTACTCATGAATAATACTCATGAGTAGTACTTGTAAATAGTACTCATGAAATAAATAAATAACATATAAAAACCCTAGAGTTCCTAAAAACCCAAAACCCCTGGAAATAAATTGTAAAACTAAAACTATAATAATAAAAAATAAGGACAATTTTACCCTTCATCATTCTCTTCTAGGTGGAGAAACCTCGTCATCGAAATTTAAAGTGTGCTAAGATAAGTTCAGCATCAAAACCACCTTCTTACAACCTTCTTTTTATTTGTTGGCTCAAATATTACTCGTGGTAAAAAGAATTTCTCAAGAAATGGATCCTCGATACAAATTTATCAAATTCGAGTATTCTTGAGCTTCTATTGAAACTCGTGTGAGAAACTTCAAACCCAATTTTTTGTACTTTAGAGGCTTTATCGACATCTAGCTCATTATTCTTTGAAATCAGGGCCACAATTTACAGATTATGAGTCAACCATGCTTCCACTTCACTACTCTAATTCTAATGCCCTAATCTCCTAAAGGCTCCACGTCTTCGATATCTATAAGATATTCATCTTTTTCTCTGTAAAAAATCGGTTTAACCATGAAATCTTGATTATCATCATATATTGGATCTCTTATAAGATCTTGTTAAGAGTGGACCGGTGGAAGACCTGGTGAGGGCACCGGTCCTGTTGAACTAGCTGGTCTGAATTAGTTCACCGGTCAGACCAGTCATAAGATAATTAAAAGAGGAAAATACAGAACAAATTGAATGACAATGAGAAAATATATGAAAATCACAAAATGTAGAATTATAGAAATATTTGAGAAAAATATTAGGAAACAAAATAAAACCAAGAATTTTTTTAAAAAAATGCACAAAATTTTAATTATGGAACAATCTTCATGTATGCACACTCTCAATAATTCAACCGAAATATTAAATAGGGAAAATATCTTTGTACCCACTATTTTTGGCTTCCATTTCTCAAGAGACCCAAGACTTTAAACTATTTCTTACGGTATAAAGTCTCTATCTTTTCTATCTTTCTACCCCTTAGACCCCTTTGACTGTACATTATTGACTTAGACATTTTGTAAAATGACTCCATCTCTATCTCTCTCAAAACTCTGTATCTCTCCTCTCTCTTTATGAAAACTTCATGTATCTCTCTCTCTATATGAAAACTTCGTATCTCTCTCGCTCTCTCTATGAAAACTCCATCTCTCACCTCTCTCATCCTCTCTGAGACCTACAGTGGGAGCTCTTCCTCAGTAGTAGAACCCCCAGCGGACCCAAGTCCACAAGGCAAGTGATCCTCTTCAACCTCATTCCTTAACATCTACATCCCTCTCAAACTTTGATTGGTTCTCTCTTTCTTGACCTTGACGGAACTATGTGATTTTGCAGTTTCGAGCTCAAGTAAGAAGAGGAAGTACAGGGGAATGAAACAGAGGCCATGGGGAAATGGGCAGTCGAGTTTCGAGACTCTCACAGAGCCATAAGGGTACGGTTGGGCACTTTCGGGACATCGGAGGAGGCGGCTAGGGCTTACCATGCAGAGGCTGTGGAGTACATAGGAGCTCGTGCTAAGCTCAATTTCCCCAATGACGCTCTACTGCTTTACCAGGCAGCGTCGCCTATCCCTCGAGCTCTTGAGAAATTCAATTATGAATTCGAAAGCCAGCCTTACCAAGCGCATCAACAAAGTACTGAATTACGTGTCTTTCTGAATGCTAGAGAGAAAGAGAGGATGAGAGAGGTGAGAGATGGAGTTTTGAGAGAGAAAAGAGAGAGATACTGAGTTTTGAGAGAGATAGAGATGGAGTCATTTTACAAAATGTTTATATCAATAATGTATGGTCAAAAGGGTCTAAGGGGGTAGGAAGATAGAAAAGATACAGACTTTATGCTACAAGAAATAGTTTAAGTTCTTGGGTCTCTTGAGAAATAGAAACCAAAAATATGGGCTACGAAGATATTTTCCCTATTAAATAACCCAAAATTTCAAGAGACAAGTAATTGAAAATAAGTAACCGTAAAAATGACCGGTAATACGTACATCATTTAACATCAAATTTTTAAAAATCTTAAGAATGAATGCGAGAAAGAACGTATGCTACTTGAAATAAGAAAACTTCATTATATGTAAATACCCTAAATGTGAAAAAAATTATTCAAATTTCCTTACTGATTTTAAAACTAAAGAAAATAGAACACCGAATAGATCAAATGGGCTTACTTGTGGGTTGAAAACTTTGGATTGAGTGTCTTGATAACATTTGGAAGAGTTGCGTGAAGGTCGCCCAATTTCTATGGTTTTTTAAGTTTGAATGACTGAGAGAGAGAATCACCGATGTGTTTCTCTCTCTTTAAGACCAATGTCCTTTAAAGAACCTTAAAACCCACCCTGGTGCTTTCATTTACCAAAGCGCCCCTCATTATATTCAAAATGACCAAGAAACCCCTTTTAAAATGGGTTAAGGCATGAAAAACACAGAAAAATTGTGGGAGTTTTTTCCTTTTACAAAAAACGAAAAAAACGTTTGGTCCATTGGTTCATTGGACATTCAAGTCCAAGGGTTTCGACCAGATTGGTTTTTTCCACCGGTTCTTTGCTTTTGAGTTCAGACCGGCTGGTCCCGGCGGTCTAGTCTAGATAACACTGTTTAATTCAAACTCTCAGGAGTCATGTCTTTACCATGGTTGTAGTATGCTTGTCATTTATGGAGCTGTGCGCCCATCTCTACTTTGTTTCTTTTTGTCTATTGTGTTTGTTAGGCATATATTAGAGTTTTCTTGTTTCTTACTTGGAAGGAATCTACTTATAGTTGCTATTGAACTTTAGTGCTGTGAATTTACTCCAACCTATATTCATTGCAAGGATCTTTAATAATGATCATAATCAGGTGGTTATAACCAAGTTTAAAAATTCTTGCATTGCACTAATTTTCCTTAGATTTGTAATGATTGAGTAATTTGCCTAGAAGTCATCCTTCCTGTGTATTAATGTCAGACTTTGAAGGAAGAACATGTAGACTTCTGAAAGCACATGAAATGCATTCACCTGAATGTCGATAGTTGTTCCTCTTAGGAAATTAACGTTTGGAGGAAACAGGATGTATACCTTGTATGACTGCTTCTACTAGAGTGTCGATTTTATTGATGTAACTTGTGAAGTTACTCTTTAAAGATGCAAATTGAATGGTCCTCCGTTAGGTAAGAATATGTGGGTCAGTTTTAGTAGACTTTTATCGTGAAATCCTGTTTGGTATTTACATACAAGAGCCAAAAATACAACATTTGAGACTTATTTATTGGTGGGTAGTCTTTTTCTGATATCCAATGGATAATGAATGTTTCTCCATTAGGTAAGAATATGCAGGTCAGTTTTAGTAAAGTTTATCGTGAAATCCCGTTTGGTATTTACATACAAAAAGTGCAAAGGACTTGTTGCTGTTTGTTTCCATCAAGAACTCATATTGAATGTTGGTCCACTTGATTGAGGGTGCTAATAGTATCTATTGTCATGTGTTCCTTGTTGTGTACTGTTAATGTATTGCCCAAATTTCCCATGGCCTTTTCTTCCTTGTATATCAGTGTTCCATAACTCCGCTCGGACCTCGTGCTTGGCCCCCGCCTGAGCTGAGTTACTTGGTCGGGCCTAAGTGAACTCGGTCAAGAATTGTACACATTGGAGAAAACAGGAAAGGAAAGGAAAAAAAATTGCAAAAAATGGAAAATGGTTGGGGAGGCGAGAGAGGCCATCTGGGAAGTGAGAGAGAGAGAGAGAGAGATGAAAAGGGGTAGAAATGAAATCCAACAGATATCATGCAGATCTAAGATTATGAAAAGAAATCCCATTAGAAACAATAAATTTCAGTGGAGAGAAAGGAAAAATGGATATTATGGGAAATAAGGGGGATCAATACAAACCTTATTTTCAGAACGAGATTTGAACTTTGCTAAAGATGGGGTTCTCGTCGGTGAAGCTGTTCCACACCCTGAGAGAGATATGGATAGAGAGAGAAAGAGATTCCAAATTTGGTATTGGTTCAGAGAGAGAGAGAGAGAGATGAAAAAGCGGGGCTGATCCTCCCCCTTTTAGGAGGGAAAAAGGGGCTCGTTTTTCCATGTACCTGAGTGGTTTATGGAAACTGAGTAATGCAGCTGAGCTATTGAACACTGTTGTATACACATGTTAGGACAATTTCCAATGTTCCACTAATATCATTCTATTTGATCTTATCCTGTGCCATTACTTACACAACTTATGAGGGAATTTATTTGGTCTGTATTGAATCATACATTACTGGCCAATTCCCGATGGTCTTCAGTTCCAGAGATCGATATCTCATTCTTGGTGACAAATGCTTGATAATTTCATGCCATATGGAAGTTGTGCTAATCTCATAGAGATTTTGATTTGCAGGGGAGAAGTGTATGAAGTAGCATGGAATCCTAAGTCTGAAACCATTTTAGCATCTTCTGGTGCCGACAGACGTGTAATGGTTTGGGATCTGGACAGGTATTTCACTTATAGCTTGTTTGTCATTTAATAAATCTTGAGTGTACTGATCCCCATGGTTGCCGCCATTGTGTTTGCTTGAATATTCTATGTTATCAATAAATGGAGTTGTCTTGCCATATCTAATTTGTATGTTTTGATCTGACTTTTCAAATATAGCCATGGGTAGTCAAATTGGTTGAATTCCTTTAAAAGAATACATCAAACATCATATACTGATGACTTCTTCTTTGATAGGTACATATTTATCTGGTCTAACATAATCAATAATGATTTATTTGATTTTTTCAACTTTTTAATTTACTGTAGATTCTCTGGAAAAAAAAATTTGCTTCAATTATATGCTGAGGTTTTTCTCTTTTTTTTATATTTTTTTGGGGGGATGGGGCGGAGGAGGGTGTGTGTGTTGGGGTTGGAGTTGTCTTACCATATCTAAGTTATGCTTGTTGTAGTTTGAGGAGGTTGTGAGGACAGGTCCTTCCTGAAATCTTTTGGTTTCCATGTCCTTGTTTTGGGAGTTTTTCGCTGTGGTTAAGGAGAGGGCATGTGGATGGCTCTCTAGAAGTTTTGGCATGTCTAATTGTTGATTTGGAGATTCTGTCAATTACCATCAGGATTTGGCCATGGATTAGCGTAATGGTCTCCATGATATGAATGTAAAATTTCCCAGCAGGCTTCATCTCTTCACACACACTGGAAGCATAAATGTGCATAAATGGCATGTACTCTTTTTTTTTTTTCTGAGCTTGGTTACCAATTTCAATTATTATTTTGAGGATAAATGACATTTGTATATATAACAATAGCCCAAAGAGCTGCTCAAAGAACCAACATTAAGCTTCATACAGTAAAGCTTTGACACTTGCCAACAAAAGTAAATGAAAACGTTCTTAGGAAGCATGTGTGTTGATGGCAAAGGTGCAACTGGCTGCCCCATCATTGGCAAGGAAATCAGCTTCTGAGTTGGCTTTCACCAGATATGGTTCTAGATGAGGTTATTGAATAGTGCCGCCAGTTGACCAAAGAGCTGTTTAATACCAGGCACGGGGGACCTCTTTGGAGGCCCATTGAATCATGTTCATGCAATCCCCTTCCACCCAAAGTACGGGGCCCCGAGCTCCCAACTTTAATCATAAAGTTCTTAGGCCCTCAGGAAGAGCCCCTAGGCCCAGCCTTGGTGGAGACCATGATTATGATGAACCCTGGAAAAGGGAGAAGGCAAAACACTATTTCTAAATGGTGCCCCAACTCCCCATCTGCCTGAGTTGCCCAGGGAGCAACCATCAAATTCAGTTTGATGGTTCCAGTGGGTTGTGGTGTCCAAATGCCCTGCCTAGGTATTGCGATCGGCCGAGCAAACATGAAGGAACCCTAATTTAAGTAAACTCAGAGCCAGAGAAACCCAAGATTTGTTACAGCTTATGAGCCCAAAACACCACCATAGCCTTATATTGTCTTGCAAGGCTTCTAGGCCTATTTCCTTATACTCAGAATTTAGTAAATTATATGTGATCCACAAGGCCCAAATATACTTGTTGCCACTGAACAGTGCACAAACAGATGGTAGATGGTTTCCTCTATTGTGCACGACACATTTATTGGGAATAGATACACCCCTTCTTTGGATATGATATATCGTGAGAGGTCTTTCTTAAAAGACCAACCAAATAAAAGCTTGAATCTTTAATGGAACCAGAGTGTCCCAGGACCTCTAGCAAATGGCGGAGTTGTTGAAGAGATAAAAGTGCATGACGGATACTGAGAAACACTCTGACGAGACAATGAACCAAAGCAACTTGTAAAACCCATTCTTGGATGAATTGCTTCTTAAGGAGTCCTAGTGTTGAGGTCAAGGGGGGGCTCTTGGGTTTACGAAGTTTCTCCTAAATTTTAGAGCCGAAACCAGTTTGCCTCCAATCACTTCATAGGACTGGGAAACCAGGAGATTGGGTTTTGCTGTGATGGAGAAAAGGCCTGAGTGCTGCCATTCGATGATATTTGTCCCTACTCAAAGATCTTTAGACATTCTTACGTTACCGTTCTTGTTACATAAGAAATGTAGTTGTGAACTCGTTGCAAACTGATAAAATAGCCCTCCAAGCGTGTGCCTGATGGATGAGCACTTACATGGCCCTTGGGGAGCCAGCCTGACTCATCAAGGCCATATCTTCTCTAACCTCTTCCCAAAGGTAGCCATCATGACTTGCAAATCTCACCACCTTGAGATGCAAGTAATGTGATGCACTGAGTTTTTTTTATTGTATTTTTTTAATATTTAGATTTTTTTTAGGTTTAGGGTTATTTTTGTCTTTATTGGGTTAGGGATTTTAAGGGTAGAATTGGTAAGCTTTTTTTATTTATAAGATGAAGGGTTGAAGGATATGGATAGGGTTTCGCATGGTTTGGTTGGTTAGGATATGTTAGACTTGGTATTAAACATGCAATAAGGGAGAGGTTTTGGTGAAGTTTATGAGAGGAAAATGCAGAGAGATTTTATGGGTGCTCATGTTGGATTGAGAGAGATTTATATGAGATTTGAAGAGAAATCCACGAGAAGTAAAGAGAGGAGAGAGATAAAAAATGTGGGGAGATAAGGTTTTTGTTGGTTTTTTTTAATCTTGTTTGTTTATTATTATTTTGTTTTGAGGAATATGTTGACTTATATTATATATATGCTAAATAATTACATAAACTGAATCTATCCAAAAAAAAGGCAACCCACAAGTCGAGTGCTCTTACAAGTAAAGAAAAGAAAAGAAAAGAAAAGGAAAAAAGAAAAATAAAAAAACCTAAAGGACAGAGAATCTTCAGGGGGCTTAGAAATCAACGCCTTCGAGCAGACTGGGAACCACCAGAAGGTAAGAGGATGATAATTCGAGATACTGATGGTCAATGAGATTAGCAGCGACCAGGCAGAGTAGGCGGTGACTATTGTTGTAACCCTGAAGAGAAGTGCTAAACAGGTTTCACCACCAAGCTTCCCGATGAACTGTGAGATTAGCAGCGGCCAGGCAAAGTAGGCAGTGACTACCATTATAACCCTGGAGGGAAGTGCTAAACAGGTTTCACCACCAAGCTTCTCGATGAAGGGGCCCACTACCATTGAATTGAATTGCGAGGGGAGTTGGGTGATGGTCTGCCCTTGCAAACGGCTTTCTGCTTTTGATAAGGGCCGTTGCACAGATATCATGCTAAAGCTTCTGCTTTTGCCAAGGACCGTTGCACCGTGAGCGAATGCTAGTTGTGTAGCCTAAGGCTATGGGCCATTGCAACCACTGTGAAGGAAGGGTAGAACTAAAATAAAGTTTGCAGGGAACTGAGATTTCCCCAGAAATTCTCATGAATGAGAGTTAGAGGAGGAGAATGACAAGAGAGGGAGAAGGAAGAGGTAGAATAAGAAGGAGAGGTCTAAGAGAGAGAGAGAGAAAGCAGAAAAGGGGTAAGATAATGAAGACTGAGAAAGGAGAGAAATGGGTACCAAGAGGTGACGGACATGGGGGAGAATGATGAAGGTAATTAAGGTAAACTGGTAAGACAGACCAGAAATAAAGAGGCGAAAGAGAGGGGGCGAAGTAAGATGATTGTATAGAGGAGAAGGTAGAGAATGAGGCGAAGAGATGATTAGTGTAAAAACAAAAGAAGAAGGGAGGGAGTGGAAATGAGTAGCAGACTATGAGAGAGTGAGAAAGAAGAGGATGAGAAATTTCTTCTTTTCCAACACCTCAAAGTAAGTAGATAGAGAGAAACACAACAATATTTTTTTTCCTTATTTTTTTTTCCCTAGAGGAGGGTGGATGGGAAGATAGAAAGAGAATTAGAGGGAGAGAGATGGCAGTGATATCTCAAGGAGCTAGCAGAGTACCTGCACGCATAGAATAGTATTCTTAGAGTCCGACTCTACTATCAGCCCACCTGAATAGTCTTCCATAAGAGCCACCTTTTTTAATCCTTCTAGTAGAGCAATGGCCGTTGCTTCCGTGGAATCTCTAATTCCTATGGACTCTTAGAAAGTCCAAAGGGTTAAGTCTGAGTTTGAGAGGATCCCACCAATGCCAGAGGGACCGGGGTTACCTAAGGAAGAACCATCTGTCTTTAATTTTAGAAAACCTGGAGGTGGTGGTGCCCATGCAAGCCGAGGTCTAAGCGAGGGGGGTGACAGGTTAAGCAAGCTGGCCAAGTTATTTAGGAAGTGAGAAATAGGGAGGTCTGCAAAGGTAGGTATGTTTTTGGCTCAGAAGGAAATTAGGTAGGCGATAGTATCAAAACTGGACTTTTGTGGTTTGAGAACACCTCTAAATGTCCTTGCGTTCCTCTCCATCCAATCACTCCACAGTAGGGTCGCAACTGAGATACGCCAAAGTTGCTTTCTAGGGGAGGAGAAAGGGGGGAGTAAAGAGACTCAAAAAGGTTTTCCAGAGATGGAGGTGTGACCCAAAGAAGACCAAAGGGGTTTAAAAGGGATGACCGAAGCCCAAAGGTGATATTGCAGTGTATAAATAAACGTGGAATAGTCTCTTCATGTAGATGGCAAAGAATACATCTAATGGGGAAGGACGCTCCACGACGTTGCACTTGATCTAAGGTTAGGGTTTTCCCGTGAAGGAGCTTCTAAATGAAGGCTTTATGGGTTATAGGAAGGGACGAAGACTTGTTGGTCAAAGGTTGGCAGGTGGGGTTTTGAAGCACAGAGTTGTAGAAAGAGGACATAGAGAAACTATCTGAAGGGGATACAAACCATATAAGGGCATCTGGACTGTTAAGACTATTGAAGACCGGGGGCAAAAGTTGGAGTAAGGAGGTCAGGGAGGTAGTTTCTTGCTCTGAGAGATTTTTGCAAAAAATGGGTGTCCAGACAAGATTGAACATGCCAAGTTCTACATATTCAGCTATAGATGTCGATTGATTGCAGGCCAAACCATAAAGAGAGGGAAAGGTGATATTAATAGGCGTGTGACCTATCCATAGGTCAGTCCAAAACTTAATACAGTAACCATTACCTA